TGTGGAGATTTTCCAATGCAGCTGCGACATTGAAGTCCAGATTCGAGCAAGAACTAATGACTTTACAGAGATTCATGTGGTGAAGGTAGCGTAATACATCACATTCAACATTAAAACTCTTGAATGCATTTTGTACTTGTAAATTGAACACTTTTACAGCCACGTTGCTTACATTTTTAAGAGTCCTTCTACAGACAGATCCAAAGCTTTCAATTCCAAGCAAATTGCTCTCGCTATAGCCATTAGTTGCCTCAAGTATTTCATAATACGAAACTCTCAATTATGTTGTGCCAATGGCAAAAAGGTCTACTTTATTTCGGACCATATCCTTCCTTGGATGTTTAATAAATGCATATGCAAAGATCAGAGAAAGTATCAAAGCCAAAGACCCAATTAGAATAAATACAACTCGAAGTGTGGTTTTTCTCTCGGGGTTTTCAGTTAGAGTAGGGCGGCATGGTTTGAGTTTGTACCTAGAACTCAAAGAATCATCTTTTAAGTAGGTTTAAGTCATACCTGACAACTTGTTAAACCCAACATCTAGTGTTCTAAGCATGGTTAAATTCCCAATTTCTCTTGGTAGCGTTCCACTAAAACTACTGTAGGCTAAAAATAGTCTCTGAAATGATGAGCATTCGTCTATTTGTGTTAGGATTCGAGCCAAATAATTAATAAACGTCTTCGAGATGGGTAGAACGAGAGAACATATTTTCTGGGAGAGTACCAGATATGTTACATTTTACAATATTAATGTTTTGCAACAAGGACATGTTAAAGATACCTAGTAGTATAGAGCATGTAAAAAAATAAGTCCCTAGCTAACCAGGTTCTCCAGGGTACCAAACTCTTGTGGAATTACACCTGGCGAATTGTGAAATCAAAATGAGAGACGACTATTATCAACATGTTGATTCGGGGTAAAAAGCAGTTGCGGTGACAGAACTTGTAGTGATATTCTACTTTGGTTACTGAACTTCATTTCATTTCAAGTTGGTTAATGAACTTAAACTATAGTGTATCACTAAATTTAGAATTTTGTTACAGTATTGTGTACCAAATGTCCTCCTGAGAAAGGGTATAGACTATTTATTAAAATTTCACTCTGTTAAGTAGTAACAAGATATATAGAGCGTGACCCTTGCCCTTATTGAATAAATACGAGAATTTAAAATTCTTATGATTGGATCTACATGTTACTATGGCTAAAAAGAAATTGTGAAATGCTACACCTGGACTAGTTGTAGAAAGGATAATTGTACCTTTCAAATAATTTGCACCAAGATATAATATCTGAAGTGTTTCTTATGTTCCCAATTTCTCTTGGTATAGATCCTATTGGTTTTTTATACCCAATAATTTCAGGCAATGATGTTAAACCGATGTTGGATAAATTAATTATCAACACCCAAGATTGAAGACTTGATCCTAAACTATTTGGACCATTGGAAGCAACCTAATTAGTTAGTGTTGCTCATGGCCTTGCTTTCACACTCATTGGACAGCTTATATTGTTGGCCCACTTATCGGTATTTTTGTCGGCATGGCCCCACCACTTTGACCTAACCTAACCTACATATGCTAGCCTCCTTGGTCTCCTATGATTCATGTGTGTTTTTATCTTGGAAGAAAACAACTCTCTGCCTCTTTATGCTTGTGCTCTTGCTTTGGCCAGTTTTTTTCTTCCTCTTCTCTAGCCATTGTGGCTGAAAACACCGTCCCCTTTTGTGTCCTTAGTGGGTACAAGGCAAAGCAACCGGAGTGTGGAAGAAAGTTTGAGGTTTGGGTCGTGATTTATTTGGGTGTTGTGAAGGTCGAGATTAGTATCCTAAGCCCAGAAAATCCACCAATTGAAGATTTATTATTCAACATTTGGTATCAGAGCGAGGTGGTGGTGGAAATTTGACCAGAAACTAGCAGAAATCAAAAGAATAAAACTGTCCAGAATTTTTCAAAAAAAAAAAAAAAGGACCTGCAACCTTAATTTTCGGTAAATCCAGACGTCTTTTGGAAAAACAAAGGCTGGGTTCGTGATCTGCAGGTGGAGGCGGTGTTGGGTGGCTGGCGCATGTGGGTGACGGTGGCGACGGCACATGGGCATTTTGACGACCGCGCGTGAGGGCGCGTGGAGCATTTTCTGACAATGATTTCTTGAGACAGTTTATTCCTCCCATTATTTTTGACATTTTTTGTGTTGAAATTTTTCTGTTTCAGGATACATAGAAAAAGTTAGACAGTTTTACCCCTAGACACTCAGCTATTGGTTACTGGACATTCATGTTGGCACATCTGTTGGATTTTAGGGTGAATAGTGGTGGTCCTATAGTAGCAGATTCGCATTAGCAAATCATCGTGTGGGATGATCAATAGGATTGGGGGTTGTCATTGCTTGGCAACGATTACTTGTGCTAGAAATTAGGATTACTTGCTCTTAATTTTTGTAATTGAGTACTTATTTTTGGATAAATTAGCTTATTGTTCTTTGTGCTAAAATTGCCATAGAATTTCATTTGATTGGATATACCTATTTTGTTGCATCGTTAATTTCGATGTGTTGCTATTTTCGTTAGAATACCTAGACCTTACCCACTTAGACATTTCCTGATCTAAGATCGCGTGTTTTACGAAACCCTGGGAATCTAAGACGGTGTATATTGCGGCCGTGGAATTACTTTGTGTGATCTATTTGTGCATTTGATTGCTTCATTTTTTTCAAAAATGTTTTCACATTTTGAAGTTGGTATTTTCAATAGAAAAGGTGATTTATCAATCTGGCAACAAAAATGTAAGGTATTTTGGTCCTACAAAAAGCTTCAAAAGCTATCGACGATAATTTTTCAACTGATTTTTCAAAAGAAGAAAGAGAAAAAGCCGATGACCCTGTTTATACCTCAATCATTTTACAATTGTCTGACGTTGTTTTAAGAAAGATTGGTAAACTGAAAACAACCAAAGAATTTTGAAAAAAGTTGGAAGATTTGTATTTACTTAAATCTACTCCCAATAAACTTTATCTTCTTGAGCATTTCTTCAATTTTAAAATGGATCCTTCAAAGGATCTCGATGATAATTTAGACGAGTTTTTAACAAACTGATGCATGATATCGTCAATTGTGATGAGGTTGTGTCCAAAACTTATAAGGCTACAATCTTGCTCAATGCTATTCCTAATTCTTGTAAGGAAGTTAAAAATATCATTAAGTATGGTAGGGATACATTGACACTTGAAATTATCATAAATTCTCTTAGAAGTAAAGAGAAGGAGATTAAAGCTGAAAATGAGAATAAGAGGAGTGGCTAGTTACATATGATGATAAGTAGGATAAAGTTTAAGCAAATGAATTTGGGTAGAGCTCAAAATAGTGGTGATTTAAGTAGTGACTCGACTGATTAAGGGCAAGGGATAGGACAAGTCTAGTGGTAGGCGGCGTTATAGTTGTGTAAGTCTATACATTTTATTAGGGATTGTTCCAAGAAGAAGGATAAATAGAAGGGTTACGTGAGAGGTGAGATAAATGCAGTTGAGGGATCGAGTTATGACTCTAGTGAGGTTTATTAGAGAGTAAATCTAGTCACTGCATATGGATCTGTGTGTGATCCTTTCTGCATGTGTGTGATTACATAATTGTTGCATGATTATATGTTGCATTTCAATTTATTTGATACGTGTGTTTGCATGAATTTAAGGTAATATGATTACTTGGTGTGATCGTTTGCATGCATAGTAGGTTAGGATGCATTCGCACTATATTAGATGTCTTTTGGTAAGGTAGAGTATAGATGCCTAGAGGTACATAGTGATTTGTACCGGGGGATGTAGAGTGTGACATTTGGATCACGAGTGGAGATGTGATCAAATGTGTAAAATCATTTATCTATAAAAGAGACCCTGCGTAGGTAGAGTGTGAGAGAGGCACTTCTATTACTCCTGTAAGGTGGAGGCTCATTATCCACGTAGGTTGGAAGAAGTGATATAATGATGGAGGATTATCCCGAGAGCTTAGGATCTATTGTGATTTACTAGTTAGACATGAGTTGAGTGATCTGTTTAGTGAGCATGGTGGACGATGAGAAGAGATATGTGTTCTCAATGTGGGAGTAACACGAAATGGGATAGGATAAGTGTGGTAAGATCTTTCGTGGGGTCATTTATACATTTGTTGCATATGTGTTTGACCTTGTGTTGATTAAATTGGTGTTAATCTGTGGTTCGTATGAACATGATTTTGAAAAGATGTGTGTAGTATTCTATATAATATCTTTATTGTATGATTATTTGTTTACTGTGATACTTGTTTCTACTTGTGTATTTTTGGACCTTAGCCCCGGTGAGTACATGGAGTAGGTATGGTGTGTGTTTTGGTTCGAAACATGAGGTAAGATCTGTGATACCAATTTTATTGAATTACCTTGATTTTGCAAGTTTAAACTTTGTGTTTTGGTTGTTTGCCGATTATTGGGTATCAAAGTGGAGATTGTTGGATTTTTGATACCCAATAATTCCAGGCGATGATGTTAAACTGATGTTGGATAAATTAATTATCGACACGCAAGATTGAGGACCCGACCATAAAACTATTTGGACCATCGGAAGCAATCTAATTAATTAGTGTTGCTCATGGCTCGACTTCCACACTCATTGGACGGCTTATATTGTTAGCCCACTTACCGGTATTTGTATTGGGCTTGGTCCCATCACTTTGACCTAACCTAACCTATATAAGCTAGCCTCCTTGGTCTCCTATGATTCACGTGTGTTTTTGTCTTGGAAGAAAGCAACTCTCTGCCTTTTTGTGCTCGTGCTCTTGCTTTGGCCAGTTTTCTTCTTACTCTTCTCCAGCCTTTGTGGCTAAAAACATCGTCCCATTTGTGTCCTTAGTGGGTACAAGGTAAAGCAACCGGAGTGTGGAAGAAAGTTTGAGGTTTGGGTCGTGATTTGTTTGGGTGTTGTGAAGGTCGAGATTGGTATCCTGAGCCCGAAATATCCACCAATTGAAGGTCTATTATTCAACAGATCCACTAAATTTGTTGTACGATAAAGAGAGGAGATCAAGTTGGGAGCATTCAGATATATTGGCTGGAATTTCACCATCTAACAGATTTGAAGATCGATGTAGGCCTTCAAGTTTTGGAAGTCGTCGGCATATGTCCAAAGGGAGAGTACCAGATAAGCTATTATCTGAAAGAGCAAGAGTTTCAATTTTTGAACCATTGAAAATCAAAAGTAAACCACTGAGGTTGTCGTATTCTAAATTTAGTATTCTCAAGTTATTAAGATTTCCAATCTCTCCCGGGATTTTCGTTTGTAGAGGATTGAAAGATAGATTTAGAGTGTGGAGAGTGGATATGTTAGAAAGAGAAGGTGGGGTGAAACCAGTAAAACTGCTATTCCCAAGTTACAAATCTTTCAGTTTAGGTAAAAAACCAAACCAAGCGGAATTTGTCCACTCTAACTATTGAACTTGAGATAGAGTTCTTAATCTTTGTAGTTGAACCAATTCTTGAGGCAGATTGCTACGGAAATAATTGTAGTCTAGTTTTTCCTTAAGAGTTGGATAAATCACCATTTTATTGCCTACCAAAAAAAAAAAACTCAGTATTGTCACTGATGTCATCTTTGACCGATTATTGCAATAAGAGTTGTGTTACATAGCATTACCAATGTTAAAATACAAGTGACATTAAATGAGAGAGATAATTAAACAAAATCACTTAATTCAATGTTTCATTTAGCTTATATTGTAGTACCAGTGGTTCTAAATAACATTATTCTTGCAATAATTGGTTCTCATTAGGTAATGGAGTGCGTTTTCAAGAGCTTACATTTATCTTTCTCGGTTAAGAAAATTAAAATATTTATAAAACTATTTAAAAAGGCCAATTCGGACTTCCAAGGTGTGCCTCTGCCTCAGTTGAATTAAGGCTTTTCGAGGCTCTCAAGAATAGCTAATACCCCATTAGGAGGTGTTCTTTGTATCTCCACTAGGCAAGATCCTTATTAGGTTCTTTTGGATAGTCGAATCCAATTGCGGGTGTTATGATCTGTGGTGGCAAATACCACAAGTAACACCAATCCAGCCACAGACCGAAATAGAAACTGACCAGTTTTTTCATAAGGATGTTGTCAGGTTCCATAACAATGCAGCATTTCAAGGCCAGAAATGCTCATTTTTCATTGTTGGAAATATGTATTATTGGATGCATACTCTTAGACAATGTGCCAACAAAAATACTAGAGAAAATCTCCACGAAATTGATAAGCTCGAGACGTAATTTCTCGAAAATAAAATAAAAAATAAAAAAATTGAAGATTTGGTATCCCTTTTAAACAGAATGAAAAAGTGTTTAGCTCTTTCTGTAATTGAAGATATGTATTGAAAGAATGCACCTACATAAGAGAGAGGAACTTGGCCTTTTACACACATTGTACTTTTTTTTTTAGCTACCATAAGCATAGAGTATTCACTAATACTAAGCATGAAAACAAGGTAGAAACTGCTTCCCGAAGCATAGTCTAGTGGTGTAAATGACAGAATTGAGGTTTTCTCATGCCTTGCTGGCAACCGCAGTTTGGGGGTTCGATTCCTAAAACATGAAATTGGACTCCTTGTAAACGCAGTGTACAGACAGCCTTTATTTCCTGACCTGTTGAAGCACATCCCGCTATTTACCTTCCTCACAAAGTTCCAGGGGCGGAATGATGGGGACGTTAAAGGTTGGGTTCAACCTTAAAGTAGAAACTCACAAGAGGAACATACAATCTGACCTCTAGCCAGCCAGTGGAAGTACGGTCCAGATAAATTAACCAATCCTAGAGACTGGATTTAATAGAAAGGAAAAACTGAATAAATATCTCATTAATTATCCTTTTCATACTTCGTGTCATCATTACGTGTTACACGTTTTCAAAAAACCATAACGGGCTATCACATCATAAGGTAGCTAGCTGTAGCCTATATCAATTTAAACGCCTTATCTAGTTTTAATAATGATCTTGAAATGAAATAACTTAATGAGCGTTGTTATGGGTACAGAGATTATTTAATAGAATTTATATAAAAATTCAAAATACACACACATACATATGGGTCCCATCCCATGTGAGTTTTATCCGGTTTTATACAATAATTCTGCTATGGGTGGTGTATTTTTTTCCAATATAAATCTCACATGGACCCCACCTCATGTGAGTATCCGATTTTTCTTCTATATGAATAATTTTGCACGTGCAGAATTATTGAAACTTAATAAGCCCTTGTTTGAGTCACATTATATTTCTAAGAATGCATTTTTGAATAATGTATTGATAAACAATGTGTGGTTAAAAAATAAAATAAAAAGTTTCGAATTTGTATGTAATATTATTTTATTGAAGAATGTGTGATTGAAATGATATCAAATTACTGTTTAAGAAAGCTTTTTTTTTTTTTATTAAATGTGACTCAAATAGACAAAGAACTCGGGCCAAGGCTCATTAATAATTGGTTATTTTGTCTGTTATGCATGTTCATTCTAATTTCAATGGAGAAGTAAACTTCGACATCTAAGGTCTTCTAATAAATCAAAACAATCAGCATCCCAATTGTATAAAAAAATTCTAACTAAACCTTTATCATTTCCCACGGTACATAATTTAAGAAGATCGATGAACATAGAAACAAGCAAGAACAAGAACACGTGATTAATTCATTCACGTGCAAATGTGGAAAAGCAATCTATAATTGGGCAAAAGTGTTTTATTTAATTCAAAAACAATCAACTTATAATAATCCTAACTCTTCTTTAAATAGTTGAAATCTCACGAAAATCCAAATAACTTGAATGACAAAATAACCCATAATTAAAGTATTGAAATAAAAATAAAATAATAGAAATACTTCAGAGTTGACCAAGCGTTTGTCGAGAAGGAAATGCATGAGGGTTTATCACAATATATAGAACTATAATTTGCATGGTGACTCCTCACAAATGCACATCTGAGGAAGATGCAAAAAGCTAGCAAGGAACGACATTGACACTTCGTATATGCAATCATAGCTCCCAAGGATCTAGATGGATCTAAGGATCATGTATCCCCTCCCAACTTTTGAGTCATAACCAACGAAATCAAAATCATAGATACGTAAGCATGGCTGATGAAATATTAGGGTAATCCTAAAAATATGTCTAGTCATATAAGATAATGATGTAAGATTTAAGAATGATTCATCAAGAAAATAAAGTGGAATCAGGAAGAAAGATAAAGGAATGACGATGTGGGAAAGACGTCCAATGGGGTTAAGGAACTTCCCCCAGTTGCAACAGCAAACAAGTTAGCATAGCACATCCTCTATGATCAAGAAAAATGAAAATAAAAAGCAACATAGCACATATATATAGCGTTAGTCCTGCCTATCATAGACATAGAATCCCAATGGACTCGTTCATCTAAGATGTCGTGCAATCTTGACCGTTGATATGGAAAGGCACAATATGAACGGTCTAGCGCATAACGCACAAGAGAAGTATTTCTTGAAACCACACACAAATCGGCATTCAAAGACACCAGTGATGCTCTATCTGGCCCAAGAATTAATTGCAAAGTATGAAAATCATGCTAAGTCATCAGGGAAGTTTGCAACTTCGGAATGATGAACTAGTAAAATCCTAGAATTAATATAAATATCAAAATCAGACTTGGGAATTATTTGTTAACCCTAAAAATAAAGTTTGCAAACCCAACTAGTCATTGGCAAGGTAAAACACGAGGGAAGGCCAAAAGTGGAAGGCTCTCCTAAAGGTCACTTGCCATTTTTCGTATCCAGGTTAACTACAAACTGTCAATAAAAAATACATGGGCAAGTGAGCAAAGTATTATTCATAATCGAATCAGTTAGAAGATATCCAACAAGAAGCTACCATCTGGCACAACGTAAAAATAATGAAATTACCCTAACGCTTGAAGGGAAATATATAAATATCTCCCTCTCAAATAGATATTTGTCCTCTTGTTCTATTTGAAACATCAAAACTAGTAAATTTAGGAGGTGAAAGTCATAATTAGGTGAGAAAATTTGTTGACTGTATTTAAATTGATATTCGATTGTAATTGTTTTATCAATTAACTTATTTGATTTGATTTGTACTATCTGTTAGAGTTTTAGGTGATCTAAATTCTTCTGTTGAAATAATTATAAAATTCTAGTTGAAGTACGCATCAAGAGGAATTTTAGTTGGAATACTTTGAGGAATCCTATTCAAGTTTAATTGTCAAATTCTATTTAAAATTCTATTTTGAAGCCAGTTGGGAGTTGGAATTTGAGTTGGACTTGAAGAGTTCAAATAAGAGAATTTTAGGCATTTTATTTCATCTACAACTCTACTTCTAAGGATAGATTTTCCTATAAATATAAGACTCCTCTATCAGTTTTATGATAAGCAATTTTGCTAGGTTGTACTTGTTTTTTCCATATTGTTTAGTAATAAGCATCGTTCCTCTACAATTAATCATTTTTTGTTCTTCTTTACTTTAAATCTTATTTTCGTAATGTGATCTTGTTTAATTCAATATTGTCATTAAATCTCATTCTTTACAATCCGATTTGGAATTAACAAATGGTATTGGAGCTTCTGCATCCAACACTACCAACATAAATCAAGAGCAAATAATGATCAATAATCTACGAAAAACTGAAATTCATACAATCACGGACACTAACAGCTGATAACAACGAGAGGCTCACATGTTGAGTGTTATAATTCATGTTGGTGAAGCACGAAGTAAATAATTTGGGCCCACCATTATATTTTACATAAGCATTAGTTTTTGATGCATTTTTTTGTGTAACTCATAGTCAGTTTTGGTGATAGATTTGACATGTAGTCATCACCTATCATCGGCGCACGTAACGTTTTGATCCACTAGGGTGATTCAGGACGGATCGTATCAACAAATATGTCATAGTTGTAAAAAGATTGTGTCTTACACTTCGGATATCAAAATTATCAAATTGTACTTCATTAATATGAATACTTTATAATTATAAAGGGAACAAATATTAATGTTAAGAGTTAAAAGATTATATATTAGAGCGTGTTTCAGAAGTGTTTAGAAATGAAATATATAGAGATAGAAATGAGTAATAAATAAGTAATTGTACTAGTGAGTCTTTCTAAATATATGGACGAAAAGTCATTTGAGAATTCATAAACCATTTATAAACATGATCCACTTATAGGCTATATAAATATTTTAATCTTTTTAAACTATGTTCTCCAATAGTTTAGCATGTCTGATTTTAATTAATATGTCATCGTATAGAGACTATTAAATTGGCAAGGTTTCGTGCAATATGATTTGTCAGTAGTATTCAAAACATAATATGAGGTATTTTATTTATAGGTCCATGTTTAATAAAAATTTCAAAATAACATTTTATTCAAGAGTTCATATATATTAAAGTTAAATGTTAAACAATTTGAGAATTTGTGCATGGACGTTATATCCTAGGATCAACGATAATTTTTATTTTTTCTCCATCTAAAATTTACTTTGTAGATTCTATGTAATAATCTCACATATACTTTT